AGGGATGAGCTGCTGCAGGTGGGTGAGGTCAGCGATGATGACGTCACAACCGCCGTGACGTCATCGATGACGTCATCAGCACCTTTTCCTTCCCCAGCAGGGCCCTGATAGGAACGATGTGGAGATTTTTGCCCCCGTGAGTCGCCACCCCCCACCCCATGTCCTGCTGTTCCCCCACATCCCATCTGTGGCACTCATTGCCACCCTCCCCGTGTGTGTCCCCCCCAACCCCCCCAGCAGTGCCCCCATCGCCAGCCCTGCCCCCGCCTGCAACACAACAAGATCTGCTCCTTCGCCCAGCGCTTTGGGGTGAGCAGCTGAATGGGGTCCCAGACCCAGAATTGGGGGGGTGGGGGGGACGGGACCCCCATAATTAAATGGGGGTGGGGGGTGTTTGGGGGTCAATGTGATCTCACAGCCCCCCCGCCTCTGTATTCACCCCCAGCCCCCACCCAGCCATGAGCGTGAGCTGGTTTCCTTCCTGATCGCCCGGAGGGTGGGAAACCCAGCAGCTGTGACGTCACCGGAAGTGGCCGCCATGACGTCACAGGGGGAAGCGATGACGTCACAGGAGGAAGCGATGACATCAGCACCAGAGGGGGGATGGGCGAGGGTGACGGCCCCCGTGCGTCCCCGCCCTCGGCACGTCCCGCTGTCTTTGTGCTGTCCCGACGGGGTCTTGAGGAGGGTGACGGTGACGGCAGCGCGACACGGACGGTATGACGCTGTGACGTCACGCTGTGACGTCATCATTAGCAGCCAAAAATCAGCAGATCCATTAATTGATCCCTGCAGGATGCTGTACCGCCAGGCACGCACCAGCCGCTGGGGGGACCTCCTGCCATTCCCTGATGGCGTTGGGAGTGACGTCACGCCCACCGACGCAATAAAAAGCGGTGATAAGTAGCGGTGTGACGTCATCTTTGTTCGCCGGTTGGCAGAAACTACAATTCCCAGCGGCCCGTGCGCCGCGCATGCGCGGTTACTGAAAGTCCGCAGGCCCCTGAGGCCACGCCCCCTACTTGCGTGCGTAGCGACGCCTTTTCACTTCCGGTGCAGCTGCCGTAGGCGCGCCTGTTAAAAAACCACGCCCCCCACACGTGCGTGCGTAGCGACGCCCCTTCACTTCCGGTGCAGCCTCCGCAGCCGCCATGTTTCTGCAGTGCTACAGCGATGAGCGCGGGCAGCGCGTTTACACGTTGAAGGTAATCCGGGGG